TGATGGATGATGATGACTGATGATGATGATGATGATGATGATGATGATGATTATGATGATGATGATGAATGATGATGATGATGATGAGTGAATTGATTGATGAGGATGAGATGTGATGATGATGATGATGTGATGATGATGGATGATCTAGATGATGGGAGGATAGAGGATGAGGAGGTGGAGGAGGAGGAGACGGAGAAGGAGGAAAAGGAGGAGGAGGAGGAGGAGGAGGAGGAGGAGGAGTAGGAAGAAGAATAAGACTAATAATAATGATAATATTAGGAGTAGGCATAACAAGAAAAGCATGCTTAATAAGAAGAGTAACAAGAGGATGATGAGGAGGAGGAAGAGCAGGAGGTGGAGGAGGAGGAGGATGCGGATGCGGATGCGGATGCGGATGCGGATGCGGATGCGGATGCGGATGCGGATGCGGAGGAGGAGGAGGAGGAGGAGGAGGAGGAGGAGGAGGAGGAGGAGGAGAGGAGGAAAAGGAAGAGGAGGAGTAGCCTCTTCCTCGGGTTGTCCCATCCGGGCTTGCAAACAAGAGCTTTGAGAAAGCTATCGTCTGACCAGCACAATATTGTTACATATGACTGCGTGTGTTTCTTGAGCAAGGTCTCGCTGAGAGGCGCTGCCTGTGCTAAAGAGTGCTCGGTTGCGCTATACATGTGGGACTAGTACGGTTGGGTTTTGGAAGGATGACGAACAATCTCGTTGGACCACTTGCGCCTAGAGGGCTGGTGGGAGTGATTCAGGAATCGAGCTCTCGCCACTAAAGAATTGCACCGTCGCCAAAGGATTCGAGCATCGTCCGAATATCTCTACGATCTATTCAGGAATCGTGCTCTACTGTTCCGCCTGGTCCGCTCGCACGGCCATTCCGTTCGGGTCCGCCAGCCCGACCCGCCCGTTGGGAGTCCGTCCGCCCGATTCGCCTGTCAGGCCCGCCCGCACGTTTGCTGGAAAGCCCATCTGCTTGTCTTCATGCCTCGCCCTCCAGGCCCACCCGAAGGGTCCGCCTGCCCGACCAGTCCGCTGTCTTGCCCCGCCCGCCCCACCTGCCCATCAGGGTCATCTCAGTCGTTTGCTTGGAAGCCTGCCCGCCCGCACAATGCACCGCCGGCCCGCCTCGCCCGTTCGGGTCCTCCCGCCCTTTGCCGTGACGTACTGCCGCGCCATGCCTCGCCTCCGCAGGCGAATGGGGCAAGGCGTCGCTTGCGCTGCGGAGCCGTGCCAGGGCCTCAGGCACGACTTGGACCGCCTGCGGCTGCTCCGCCAGTGGCGTTGCTCGCTGCTGCTGCTCCGCTGGTCGCTCCAACTTCCGACGAGATCGCACTCCACTCTCTCTCTGGGCCGTGCTGGGAGGCGCGTGTGCGACCTCCCCCTCCTTCCCTCCATCTCCCTATCCCTCTCCCTTTCCTTGTTCTTCTCCCTCTCCCTCTTCCTCCCCCTCCCCCTCTCCCTCCTTTCTCTCGTGCTATTGCACTCCCTTGTCTTCTCCATGTCTTCGTCTCGTTCGTTTCTGCGACGTCTGTAAGTATTTTGTGCCAAGCCGAGTCCCTACAAGAGCAGCTGGTGTGAAAATTCCCGAATGTCGGTCGCTAGGGGGTTTTAACACAGGTAAGAAAAGACCACAGAAGAGCCCCAGAGGTGGGACGCGGAGCCGCCTGGTCTGGAGGCGGTGCGGCGGCGACTTCGCCCGAGACTTCACCATTCATTCAGGCCAGCTGCATGTCTGACCCTGACGGCCACGATCTTTGTGTGTATACATGGTCCAGTAGTCAGGAGGGGACCACAGACAAGCCCCCCGGTGGGGACGGGGAGCCTGGGACCACTTGGTCCGGCAGCCGTTTCGCCTGGGACTCCCTTACACTCTATTCGGCTCCTCAATGCTGGCAGCGTCTCGCCAGGGCAGACAGCACCACACAGGAGTCCCCCATGGGGGGGGGGCGAGGAGCCCTAGCCCGCCTCGTCCGGCAGCTGTTTCGCCCGAGGCTCCCTCACGATGTATCCAGGAGTCGTGCCCTCGCCACAGTGCCAGCCACATTCGTGGTCCGGACGGCCACGATCTGTGGTAGAAACACTACGGTGCACATGGGCGAATAGTGGTCCCGAAGAGGGCAGAAGAGTCCCACAGGGGGGACGGGGAGCCCGAGACCGCGCGGTCCGGCAGCCGCTTTGCTTGAGATCTCCTCGCGGTTTATGCAGAATTCGTTCTCCAGCCTCAATGATGGCTACATTTTTCGTGCTGACGGCCACGGTACCGCGGGTCGTACGGGCTGCACAGGTCCCATAGGTCCCACAGGTCGCACAGATCCCCCAATGTCCGCAGGTTGCACAGACCCACAGGTCCCAGAAGTCTCGCGGGTCCAACATGTCCCACAGGTCCTGCAGGTCTCACATGTCCAACAGGGCCCACGGACCCAAAAGGTCCCACTGGTCCCACGTGCCGCACGGGCACCACAGGTCTCGCAGGTCGTACAGGCCGCGCAGGCCCGAT